TGATCCACCCACCTTGGTCTCCAAAGTGCTTGGCTAACAGGCGTGAGCCACCACGCCCGGCCATTACTATTATTCTAAATTGAAATATGTATATATGGGAAGATAAGAAAGCTAGAGGGTACAGAAAGCCATCTAACATTTATTTAACATCTTTTACATGCCATTCATTAGTGTAGGTGCTTTATGATCATCCACATAAAACATCACAGTTGTTCAATCCACAAAACAACCCTAAAAGAAAGTAACTCCTCCATTTTACAGATAAGAAAATAGGCTTAGAGAGATTAAACATTTTATTCAAGGTCACAGGGCTAAAAGAGTAGCAGAATTCTCCATCACTTGATTCTGCTTATCAGACACAGGAGTAGGACTTCAGGTTAGGAAGAAGGGGCTAGAAGTTGACCAGGAGGGAAATGTACACTCTCTCTCAAGTTTAGGACAAAGAGAGCTATCTAAACCCTGCCAGCTTCATGTATTCATCTGAGAAGTGCAGATTTCTTGGCCCTCTCACTTGTCCCTAAGAGGAAGCCCAAGAAGAGACATTCTATTTTAGAAAACCACTGAGGAAGTGAAGGCATTGAATGAGTAGTGTTAGTTTCTGAGACCCTCAAGACCACATAGAAGTACAACCATACTCTCAGAGGGGCGCAAGGAAGCATAGATCCCTCTGTTACCCAGCTGACAGCTGACCTATAACTATCCTAGTGTCATTAACCTGCAAAAAAACTGGAGGCAATTAAGCATGAATTGTTACTGTTACAATCAAGCCACAATTTACACATCCAATGGGTATTTCACTTTCAAAGCTGTCCTCCTGGGGGTCTATATATTTAACTCTGCTGCTGTCACTTAAAATGGACATGGCAATTCCATCGTTCAGAATTGTATCTTTTTCCTTTCAACATAGTTTCAAATTTTAGAAACAGCCACCAGTCATTTGAGCCCAAATATGATACCTAATTTGATTTAAGAATAGGACATAATTGGCTAATCTCAAATGTTAGGTTTTTGGACAAAATTTAGTCAGTTCAGAATAAAACATGTTTTTCGCTTTTTGGTTTTGTTGTTGAGCATCTATTATTTTCAGGCACTGTTATACCTGTTTGGTCCTTCAGAGTTTATGTGAAGACCATTTTCAAATTGGGGTTTCTAAAATGCTTTGATTAAAGGGAGCATCACATTGAAATGAATGTACAGCATTGAAGGGCATAACACTGAAATGTCTAAGCCCCTGTATATTTGTTAAAATTCTCACCACGTTATAGTAACCTTGTATGTAACTTAACTAGAATCCTCAACTAAATCAATTCACACAGAAAGTCAACATTTCTGAGTGCCAGGCACTATGGCAGATAGCAAAAATACAAAACCTAAAGTGAAGGAGATGGAAAGTCATGGGACACAGGCATCTCCATCTAACTAGGAACATAGGAATGATTTCACAGGAAGGCACTGTCTATTCCGCTAGAGCCAAATCTTACTTTGGGTTATTTTTAACCATCTAATTTGAGACGAGATGTATATTTACCACATACAGTGTTCTGGAAACTTCAAAAAGTTATATCCAGGGTAGAAGGTGCTCTGGCGCAGTCTCTTGAGGGTGGAGCAGAACCAGCCACCAATCCTTTTTCCACCATCTGGGAGGTGGAATGTCTGTCCATGCTGGGGGCTCAGTGAACCTGAGCTCTTGGTGAGGTACAACTTTTCTATACAGTACTGTTTATTTCTATTTGATTTGGATTTTAGACTATGAAGTGGCATCTGAATAGCTAGAGTTTAGTAGTTTCCAGCATGGGAAAGAAAATCCACAGAGATCCTGCAAGCCAGACGATGCCCTATGTCACCAATGTATCTAATCACTAAACAAAGCAAAAGGCAGCAGCTTTGAACTGTTAAAATACAGAATGTTTAAATTACAAAATCCTACCCACATTCAAACTGGGCAACATGAGAGTCCTGTGATTGCTCTATTCTCAGAGCCAGAGTCTGCAAAAGTAAGAAATGCTTCAAGAAGCCCCACCGGGCAGGGCTGAGGCCGAGGTCATACCAGTTCTGAAGGATGCTGGTAACAGAGCTGGAACTCAGACCCAGCCCCCATTGAGCTTGAGGCGAGGGGGGGGGGTTGTGGGGGGTGGGGTACACATTCTGTTCTACATGACATGAACAAAATAAACAAGTATTGTCTCCAAGGGAGTCAGAACCCTGAATAAAGAGAAAGAAGCGAAGGCCACTGAGCCTACTTTGGGTTTCTCGCTTCCTGGCCACAGACATACCATGTATCTAGTATATGACAACACAGGTACATGCAAAGCTTTAGTGCAGCTACACAAGGCTTGACCCAACATGCTGACACAAACCCCACAGAGGCCGGTGCGAGCTGGTAGAGCTGCTTAGCTTCCTCAGTGCTGTGACGAAAGACAGGCTGCTTTACCCCACAGAGCATCTGGAAAGAAGATGTATGAGAGCGACCATACCAGGCAGTAACAAGCAGACAGAGACAAGGGGGAGAAAAACAGCATGACGACACCTGGAAGAAGAAACAAATGCAGGCACTCAATTTCTAGGAAGCTGTCTTCTATGCTTTCTACCCTCTACCCTCCTGTCCCAACCCTTCCATTCTTTATTTTTCACCCACAGTGCCTAAGAAACAAACAAAAAGAGGCAGGAGCCCTGTCTTCAAGTTCAGTTTAATGGAGATAGGTAAGTAACCAGAGAAGCATAGCCCAATGCGGTCTCAGGTTCCATTGTGTCAAATTCACATCAGAAGTCTCAGCCAAGAAGACATTTGAATTGCCCTTGTTAGGGAAAACAAGACAAAAAACAAAAAACCCTAGTTAGGAAAGAAATCTTCCTCATTGTTTTGAATTGAACATGTGATAATGACCAATGCAATATTATATGTATGCAGAAAAGAGTTTAAGTCCAGGCTTAAGACTGCTATCCTCAGAAAGGACTTCTTGCAAGTCTGGCCCTTGGCTGATGGCTGAAAACTTGAATAGTAAACAGTTCCCTAGACCAATATAAAACTTTCCCCAACTGATAAGAATGTCTCACTGTACCTAGACTATCCCTATGAGCGCAGTGGTAACACCTGCTTTCTTTCTGGGAGTGTGGAATTTTGGTATATGGTAGGCACAGGGTGCTGACGTGACCATCCCCCAATAAGAACTTGGGCACTGAATCTCTGATGAGTTTCCCTGGTAGACGACACTTCATTGTACTGTCACAATTCAGTGCTGAGGAATTAAGTGCGTCTCGTGACTCTACTGGGAGAGGACTCTCTGAAGTTTGCACCTGGTTTCCCTGAACTTTGTCCCACGCACCGTTTCCCTTTGCTGATTTTGCTTTGTAACCTTTTGCTGAAATCAATCTTAGCTATGAGTACCACAACAGACTGAGTCCTGTGAGTCTTCTCAGGGTTGTCTTGGGGACTCCCAACACAATTTGCACTCAGATTCACCACCAAAAGGCAAAAGAGCACCCACGTTCATGAAATGCCTACTTTGCACTAGATACTCTGCTAGATACGTACATTTTTTCATCTACACTTCACAACAATCCTATGGTTTAGAATTGTCTGTTTTTCATGATGAAAACAGAAAGTAACCCATGCAAGGTCCTGTTTCAAACCCACTTCTGCCTGACTCTTCAAAACAAGACATACTGCCTCAGAGAACTCAAAAAGAGGGCAAAGAGAGTATGAGCCAATGCATTTCCATGGGAATGATCACCACGTATCCTGTAAGAGAAATCAGAACATACGATCTGACAGGAGACCACTTCTAGGAGTAAGAAGCAGTTAAGGATATGCATGGGCATTTTGGAATACTGCATTTCAAGAATTGATCTGTTGAGGCAAAAAGACAATACTATCAGAGTTGTCCTGGAAAGTACATGGCCGGTGTGTTGGCTCATGCCTGTAATCTCAGCACTTTAAGAGGCCAAGGCAGGAGGACTGCTTCAGTCCAGGAGTTTGAGACCAGCCTGGACAAAAGAGTGAGACCCCGTCTCTACCATATAGATATAATATTGGGGTACTTTCTGTTAAAAAAAAAAAAAAGTATACGATAAAAGTTCTCAGAGTACTGGTCACAGGCCAATTCTCAGACGTATGAAGCTCTGTTGGGGAGAAGGGACCTCAGTCTAAGAAGGTGACTGGCTGCCTTCAAGTAAGAGGAATGTCCAAAGAAGCCATTTTGAAATCTACCCAGTAGGGCTCTGGTATTAACTATTGTCAAAATCCGTAAGGTGCAGTTTCCTCCTTTACTCAGAGAGCAGGACAATCTAAGGAAGGCTGAGGCCAAGCATGTGGTTTATTTTGAGAAGTGGGGGATCAGTAGTACCTACAGGAGCAAAGAACACTAAGAAATTCTACTGCTATGAGATAGGAGAAGGGGAGGTAGAGGAGAAGGGGGAGGCTAGAAACGGACACATCTGTGCCAGAGGATTTATATTTATTATCTCATTTAATCTCAGTAATCCCGCAAAGTAGGGATTAGTGGCTTCGTTTTACAGATGAAGAAAACTGAGCTCAAAACAGTGAGGTATTAGCCGAAGTTCATGTAACTAATAAGTGCCAGAGTAAGAGCTTGGGCCCGGGTCTTCCTGAGAAGCTTCTAAACCCAGAAGCCTCTCACCAGCATTCTGCCTCTGCCACCTAAGGTGTAGGAGGAGCCAGCTACTAGAACTTGGATAGGGCTGTTGGTGCTAATGTTACCAAAGGTGTAAGCCTTAAGGGAAAGGTCAGGATGAAACCAAAGACCCTATAAACTAGAGTCGACTCACATGGGAATGATGGAAGAAACTCTGGATGCCCATAGATGTTTGTCTTGTTTACAGAATCACATTTAAGAGAAGAAAAACCGATATTCTTTGAAGGAAGCCCTAAATCCGGGAAAGCTCTAGGGGGACTTCTGCAAGGTCCCAGTGTGACCAGGAACTCAGGGCCTGGAACCCAGTGCTCAGTTACTTCACCACAAACCTTGTAGTCATCCATGTCTCCTCCTTCTTCCTCAATGTCAATTCTATTTCCAACATTTATCTCAAATCTATTTACTTCTCCTTATCTCCACTGCCACCATCACCTCTCATCTAAACAAAAAGTGGGTTTTCCTACTTACATTCTCAGTCCTGAAATCTATTCTCCACATGGCAGTCAAAGTGATCACTGAAAACTGCTGCTCCAGTTGTACCACTTCCCTGCATAAATCCCTTCAGAGGCTTCTCATTTGCCTTTGGTATCAAATCCCAAATCCTGCCAGGTCCACTCACCTCATGGCCTTAGTTTGTGTCACTGGCTGTCTCAGCAAGTTTCAGCCATATTGCTCCACTAATGCATCCAGCCCCTGTGGCCCCAAAGACATCACAACGTACTGTTCCTCTGCCTGAACTTCCTGAACCTCCCCATCCTCACCTGGCCACTCCTCCTGTAGGTCTCACTTAAATGACACCCATTTAAGGATCCTTCCCATCCCTTCAGATCATCCCAGCCTGAACTAGGTCACCCTCTGACACTCTCTCAGTGTACACTACTTGCATAAAACATACAGTAAAACTATATGTTTCTAGTTATTCCTGCTATTATTTGTTTGATATCTGTCTCCCCTGCAATCAGGCTCTAGATTCAGAGGCAGGGACTGTTTGCTTAGTTTACCAATTTGATTTCCAGCACTTGGCACATGGTGGGTGCTTCCTAAATTTCTATGGAATGTATTAACATTTACCAAATATATACTGAGTACCTACTATGTGACTGACACAATTCTGAGCACTAGAATATAATATTAATTATATTAATAGCATGAATAAAAAAGAGTCCTATTGGGGGCAGGTTTAGTGTTTATAGACAGTAAGAAAACTAGTAAATATGTCAGATGATCATGAGTTCTATGTGGAAAAATAAAGCAGAATAAGGGACAGAGAAAAATGCTGGGGTGAGGTACAGTAACAATAAGCGGCAGTGATGACAAACTGGCCATGGTGACATTTTCACTCACCTCCTATATAAACCAATTTTTTCCAGTTCTCAGACTCTAGGATTTTGTCATGTGGGTAGTAGCTCTGGTCCATCATGAAGAGAATCATGAGTGAGGCCATGCAGCAGAGGATGAATGTGTTGCCTTTGGTCAGAAGGGAGGTGGAAGCCAAGATGGAGGACGCATACGGGCAGGGTAGACCCCTGTATGTGGAGCGGACTCCTGCCGGGAAGAACACTGGAGATTAGTTGCTTCTGTCTGCCCTAAGGATACCTAAATGAAGCAAGCCCCTCTTTCGTTGAGTATTCCCCTACCCAGGATACAATATTCCCTTAAACCCAAAGGCAGTGGCAGGCTGAAAATCATTTATTCACAAAGATGATGCATGGGTTTTACATTGGGTTTCCATGGGAAAGGAGACAGCCAGCTAGGACCAGGGTGTGCCCTGGCTCCTAGGAAGTCTCTGCTGAAAGGGGCCTTTGAGACCTGCTAGTCTAAGCCCTGTGCTGTATCTTCTGCCCTCCCTCACGTTGTGACCTTAGGCAGAACAATTTCCCTCACTGGAGCATGGTTTCTCCATCTTTTTTGAGAACTGGAGTACAACCTCCAGTTCTAGTCCAGGAATCAATATGCTCCATCCAAAGATCACAGGTCATGCAGTGAGACAGAGGCATAGCTGCTCCAAGAAACGAAGGCCCTTGCCTCCCAGCCCAGGGCTCTGCCAGTGCAGCCTGCAGGCTCCAGTGGGCATGGGGCATGGGGCATGCAAGGAGAAAGGAAGAGGACCTCTGAAAAAGGACTCAGTAACTGCATCCCAGGCTTCTGACATCTGACAGCGCCCCGTTCTGTGGTCCCCTGCCCTCTGTTCTAAGGCAACCTTGGTTCCACTCACCAGGTGAATAAAAGCACAAGCGGAAAGAAGCAGCTGACACATAGATGATGGCCAGGGTCCCACTCAGAAGTCCGTCCACGCCTAGGAGCAGAGCGGAGGCCAGGCCGAAGGTGGTGAAGATGGCAAAGTCATTCAGCTCAGCTCCTGCCCCAGAGGGCCCAAAGTTAGAAGAGCTTACACTCCGATAGCTTGCACCTTAGCCTCACTCTGGTGGGGGAGCTGGGGTAGTGACAAGAGGGGTCCTGAGGTCCCAGAGAGCAACAGCTGCTCCCCTGGGGCAATCTGTAGATCAAGGCTGGGATCTCCTCCTGACTCTGCCTTGAACTGGCCAGTGGCCCTGGGCAAGTATTTCCCTCTCAGGCCTTAGTTTTCCCATCCCTTAACATGCAAGGGTTGGACTACCGTCAGATACAAACTGATAAGCTGTGGGACTTTTTAAAACTAAATCTTACATGGAAGCATTTTACTGTATTTTAAACCAGCTGCTCTGCTGGTTTAATTTTCATCTCCTCTCTGCCAACCTCCTCTCACCCCACCCCTCCCACTTCCACTCCAATATCTGGATGGACCCAGAACAGGGAAGCAGGGCAGATGACAAAACTGAAAGACTGAGCAATGGTCAATAAGTGAGCCAGCAGAGGAGCTGGAGCTGCACCGTGGGGCTCCTGAACTCCTGCCCAAAGGCTGTCTCTGCTGCTCTCAGGGGGATGTGAACAGGGGTGGATGCCTGATGAAGGCCTTCTGGATGTTAGATGATAGACGAAGGAGGTGACCTCAGATGGATGCTACTGGGGGCAAGGATTAGGGGCTTGGGGCCTGGACTCACCCAATTTGGAGCAGATGTTGAGGTGGCTGGTCATTGCCCTGACTGCCATGTCTAACAGGAAGCTGACCAGGAGCATCCAGGAGGCATACTGGCGTTTCCTAAAGCACAGGCAAGCAAGCCCAAACGGGGCAGCACTTTTGCAGTCTCCACTGGAGACTCTCCCCAGCCCTCCATTAGTGCATTAGTGTACACTAATATACTTCTTACACACTTCCCACACTTGCACACATACACACATCCCTTCATGTTCCCCACACTCACATCCTGATAAAGGTTGCTTTCGCACCACACACGCACACACACATGCCTACATCCCTCACAAACTCTTAATCTACAGTCAGAAAGGAGTGCCCCAAATCCCCTAGAAAATCACTAAGATCCCTTCCAACTCTAAACTTCCAGGCATTTTTGATGGCACAGGTGACCTAAGTTCTAGCCCAGCCTCTGCCACCATCTCCCTATGAATTCTTAGGTAAATCACTACCCCATCTCTAGGCCACTCCCCCATCTGTAAAATGGGGAGTGTGTGCTAAATGGTTTCTTAATAGATATATGCCTATTCAGATGACTTGGATCTCCTTGTGTGAGTTTTGGTAACATGTCTTTTAAGGGATTGATCATTTGCAGCTACGATATCAATTTTGGGGCATAGAGCTGTTCATAGCATTCCTTTATTATCCTTTTAATGTCTGTGGAATCAGTAGTAATGGCTCTTGTTCTGTTTCTGATAGTGGTAATTTCTGTCTTTTCATTTTTTAACTTGGAGAGCCTGGCTAGAGGTTTATTGATTTTATCAATCTTCTCAAAGAACCAGCTTTTGGTTTCACTGATGTTTCTCTATTAATTTCTTGTTTTCAATTTCTTTGATTGCCACTCTAATTTTTATTTTATTTTTTACTTTTTTGAGATGGGATCCCTCTGTCACCCAGGCTGGAGTGCAGTGGCATGGCCTCAGCCAACTGCAACATCTGCCTCCTTGGTTCAAGCAATTCTCCTGCCTCAGCCTCCAAAGTAGCTGGGCTTACAGGCATGTGCCACCATGCCCAGCTAATTTTTATATTTCTAGTAGAGACGGTGTTTCACCATGTTGGCCAGGCTGGTCTCAAACTCCTGACCTCAAGTGATCCACCTGCCTCGGCTTCCCAAAGTGATGGAACTACAGGCATGAGTCACTGTGCCCGGCGTAATTTTTACTTTTTATTTTATATGCTTACTTTGGATTTAGTTTGCTCTTCTTTTTCTAGTTTCCTAAGGTTAAAGCTTAAATTATGGATTTTAAATCTTTCTTTTTTTGAATATATGTATTAAATGCAGGAAATTTCCCTCAAAGCAAAGCACTACTTTCCTTGCATCCTAAAACTTTTGATAAATCTTGATTTCATGTTTTTTAGTTTAAAACATTTTTAATTTTTCTTGAAATTTCTTTTATCCATGTGTCATTTAGAAGTGTGTTGTTTAATCTCCATATATTTCAGGATTTTTCAGCTATCTGTTATTGACTTCTATTTCAATTTCATGTGATCTGAGAGCATACTTTTGTTAAATTTGTTAAGATATGTTTTATGACCCAGAATGTGGTCTGTCCAAGTGAGTCTGAGAAGAATGTGTACTCTGCGTGGTTGGATGAGCACTCTATAGATGTCCACTTTATCCGGGTGACCAATAGTGTTGCTGACTTCAACTATGTCTTTGCTGAGTTTCTGCCCGCTGGATCTGTCAGTTTCTGATAGAGGGGTGTGGAAATCTCCAACCTTGATAGTGGACTCATCAATTTCTCCCTGCAGTACTATTAGTTTCTGTGTCATGTATTTTGATGCTTTAAATGATTTCCATAAGCTCTTTCAGACCCCACATTCTTGATTCTGTGCCTCCATCCAGCACATGCTCCCAGGTCCCTCTAAATGCTGCTACCACAGCTTCAAGCAAACCTACCCTGAAAGGTGCATTCCCAAGTCTGTGCCCTGAATGCAATGCTTAGGTGGCCCAGAAGGAGCAAAGGGCCTGACCTAGACCACAGCTGTCCCCAAACAACCACAGCATTTCCTTTGTTTAGACCTAGACCCATCTGTCTAAAGGGGACTGAAGCTACATAAAAATACTAGGGGCAGTATCATGGCATAAAAATTACACTCCCAGAAAATTAGGCTGAATTAAGAAGATGGGGATTTTTTGGGCTGGGCACAGTGGCTCGTGCTTGTAATCCCAGCACTTTCGGAGGCCTAGGCAGGTGGATCACTTGAGTCCAGGTGTTTGAGACCAGCCTGGGCAATATAGTGAGAACTCATCTCTAAAGAAAAAAAAAAAAAAGAAAGAAAGAAAGAAAAGGCTTTTCTTGAAAAAAGAGATTTTCTGGCCAGGTGTGGTGGCTCATGCCTGTAATCACAACACTTTAGGAGGCCAAGGCAGGCGGATCGCAAGGTCAGGAGATCAAGAGCATCCTGGCCAACATGGTGAAACCCCATCTCTACTAAAAATACAAAAATGAGCTGGGCATGGTGGTGCATGCCTGTAACCCCAGCTATTCAGGAGGCTGAGGCAGAAGACTCACTTCAACCAGGGAGTCGGAGGTTGCAGTGAGCCGAGACCCCACCACTGTACTCCAGCCTGACGATAGAGCAAGACTCGGTTTCAAAAGAAAAAAAAGACAGAGATTTTCTACTGTAGGTGTGCCCTACTTTATTAGACTCCAAATACGAAGACATAGAGAATCACGAAAATTTCAAGCTGAAAGTGTGCTTAAACATCATCAAGTAAAGTCATCTTATTTTATGGATGAGAAACAAATCCAAAGAGAAGTCACTGGCTCATGGTTATGGACAATCAAGTAGATTACGAGGATGTTATCTGCATCATAAAGGATTTATCTTTGAAGGACTGATATCCCAAAAACATTGACATGGGATTCAATTTACAGAAATAGAATTTGCTTACAACATTTTGGGGGAACTTATACAAGTCTCGGACCTCCCAGAACAGTGCTAATTTCAAATATTCTGCCAGGTCATGTGATCTTATTTAAGAATTAGAAAACATGAACAGTGGCCTACCCAAAGATTGTATAAAGGCCACCAGAACAGAATCTCTTGGTTTTATCATAAAAACCATTCTAGACTGCCATAGCTGGAATGAACTACAGAGATCATAATGCAAGCTCCTCATTTTACAGAAGGAGAAACTGAGGCTCAGGGATGTAACCTAGCCAAGGTCACATCAGATGTGTGGTATAGCTAAGTCTGGGATCTTGGCCCCTTGACTCCTAAGCTACTGCACTTTCCCCAGGTCCACTGTGGATTCCTGTGCCTCAGTGCCTGCTCTCTAGAATCTCCCTCTCCTTTCCTCATGCCATTGGCCCCAGCTCTTGGCTAAGAGCTTGCTGGGCCCCAGACCTACCTGCTAAAGCTGAAGATGATGGAGAAGAGCCCCAGGACCATGTTGGTCAGAGATAAGGTATTGGTAACCTCCTTCCAGGAAACGTCATTTATCTTGGAATGGCTCTGGTCATGGCTCAGGAAGAAACTGGTACCCTTACCTGAGGCCTAAGAGAGAGGGGCAAAGGGTTCCCAAGGTCAAGGAGTCCCAGAAGAGGCTCCCAGGGACCCATTCCACTAGACCTCACCACAGAATGGCACCCTCCCTACATTCTGTATCACATCACTGGCTGGACTAAGGGAGACAGGAAATAGATGAACAAGACTCAGGAGGTAAAGACAAAGGTGCTGAGGATCCAGTGTCTTGGGAAAGCTCAGTAGCAGAGCAGGTGAACCAACACAGCATAGTTTCCATTCCCTCTCTGACTGCACCTTTGCCCTGCAGTGCAGACATCTCTCCAGTCCATATGCTGATCTTCCTGGAGCCCCATGGCCCAGAATAGAGGGGGTATGGGCCCTTTTCCCGTGTGAGAAGTGGGCCCTTGTCACGGATCAAGGGTTGGCTTGAGAGAGAAGTAGCGCCAGGAAGCCCTGTTTTCCCACAGTCCAAGCTCCCTCTCTCTGAAGCACAGGGCTACAGCTGAGGTGCCCCAATGTCCTGGTTCTGACAGGCCCCAATCAGAACAGCAGGCCTCCCTCCACAACGGAAGAGATGACAGATTAAAAATGAATGTGTAGCTGGACACGGTGGCTCATGCCTGTAATCCCAGCACTCTGGGAGGCCAAGGCAGGCAGATCACCTGAGGCCAGGAGTTTCAGACCAGCCTGGCCAACATGTTGAAACCCAGTCTCTACTAAAAATACAAAAATTAGCCAGGTGTGGTGGTGCACGCCTGTAATCCTAGCTATTCAGGAGGCTGAGGCAGAAGAATTGCTTGAACCTGAGAGACAGAGGTTGCAGTGAGCTGAGATCACACCACTATACTCCAGCCTGGGCAGAGTGAGCAAGATTCGGTCTCAAAAAATACTAAAGAATGTGTACAACACTGAATAGTTCACAAATACCTTTTCACCATGTTCCTTCCCAGCGTCTGGTGATGACCTCAGGACATGGTGCTAGAATTCTCCCCTATTTTAGGAAACTACCATTAAAAGAAAAGAAGATGGCCAGGCGCAGTGGCTCACACCTGTAATCCCAGCACTTTGGGAGGCCAAGGTTGGCAGATCACGAGGTCAGGAGTTTGAAACCAGCCTGACCAACATGGTGAAACCCCGTGTTTACTAAAAATACAAAAATTTGCCGGGCATGGTGGTGGGCACCTGTAATCCCAGCTACTCAGAAGGCTGAGGCAGGAGAATCTCTTGAACCCAGGAGGAGGCTGCAGTGAGCCAAGATCGTGCCACTGCACTCCAGCCTGGGCGACAGAGCAAGACTCCAACTCAAGAGAAAAAGAAAGAAAGAGGCCAGGCGTGGTGGCTCAAGCCTGTAATCCCAGCACTTTGGGAGGCCGAGGCGGGTGGATCACGAGGTCAACAGATCGAGACCATCCTGGTCAACATGGTGAAACCCCCTCTCTACTAAAAATACAAAACATTAGCTGGGCATGGTGGCGCGTGCCTGTAATCCCAGCTACTCCGGATGTTGAGGCAGGAGAATTGCCTGAACCCGGGAGGCAGAGGTTGCAGTAAGCCGAGATCGCGCCATTGCACTCCAGCCTGGGTAACAAGAGTGAAACTCCGTCTCAAAAAAAAAAAAAAGACAGACAGAAAGAAGAAAGAAAAAAGGAAGGAAATAAGGAAGGAGGGAGGGAGGGAGGGAGGGAGGGAGGGAGGGAAGGAAGGAAGGAAGGAAGGAAGGAAGGAAGGAAGGAGGGAGGGAAGATATTTGCTCAAAGTCATACAGTAAATAGAACCAAATCCCATTTGTTTGATTCTAAATCTGGTGTTTCTTCTGCTGGGGGCATAGATTTCATCAGGAGGAGCTGTGTGGAATGGGGGCAGTGAGGGAGCTTGATGGCCAGGCCCTAGGTGCAGCAGCAGCCTCCCTGTGTATGTGGGAGCGGCCCAGCCCAGGCCTCACAGCATTCCCTGTCTCTCCCACAACAGGGAATCGGCTCGTCCCACCTATCTTCACAGCCTGTCTTGTCTCTGTTTTCACTCTAAGAACAAATATGTACACCTTACACATAAAATGCTTGTAAAACTGAGTCTCTTGGAGAAAGAGTCCCATTCCTCCCCAAAACTGAGAAGCCCCACTGGTTGGGGCAAATGTACTAGCCATAAATAGATCCTGAGTAAAATAAACAAGTTCCAAGGTGTTCCCAGATCTGTCTTCTCATTTAATCCTCACCCATTTCCAAGGTGAGGATTAATCTCACCTCCCGCTCTGCCTCCATCCAGCCCCTCTGTACAGCCTCAGGACCCAACTGGTCTGGGCAAGAGGTGAAAGAGACCATGATCCTTTCTCATAAACCCACCACCAAGAGGCCAGCAGCTGGGAGAGCTGACTTGGAGTTTGAGACCAGAGTTTACCAGTCCTCCATGGGCCAGTCTCACTCACCAAAGGGGATCAGTAGCTACACGGCCAAAGTCACTGTGATTCTGAAGACCTTCTTATGCTAGGGCCCCTAAGACAGGAAGCAATGCAAGCCAGGGAAATCTGGGAGGGGAAGGGGACAAGCGACTTGCTGCACACTCCCTCCCCATGAACCCGCTGTAATGGTCTCTTCTGGATCTCTGGGCTGACCCCAGCACGATCAAACATCCCAGTGTCTGCTGCTCAGAGCCAGACAGCAGGTACCCAGGGTCTGTCTACCAATTGTCAGGCATTGCTGCTGCCTCTGTGCTACTTCACAGCTGGTTAATTTCTAATTAATGGTCAATTGTCTACTATATTATCTCTTTCATTATCTCCTCCATTCACAAACCACTTTCACATTTAGGATTTCCATTGGCCCTGTGAGCGCCGTTAGGCAAGAGTTCTCATCCCTACTTTCCAGGTAGGCAAGGAAGACTCAGAGATGGGGGGAACCTAGCTCAAGTTCACACCAGAAGTGGTAGAAATAAGACTTACAATTTTGCCTTAAGTGTTCTTTCCCCAGTGCTCTGCTCTCTATTAACCAAGAGGACTGGACATTGTATTGGTTATATGCTCTGCCTGAGCCTGGGGCTGGCAGAAACCTTGTTCCCTAACATCACAGAGTTTACAACCTCTCCAAGGAAATGAGTGTCTTGCATGCATGTGGAGACTTAGACTCTATTCACAGTGGTACCTTATCTTACAGATGGGGAAACTGACATTTCAGGAGAGTTAAGTGACTTGTCCAGTAAATGGTGGAGCCAGGATTTGATTTGGGTCTCCTCTTTCCCAATTAAATGCTGTTTGCAGCAAAATGCACAGGTCCCAGGTGTGAAAGGATGTGGACTTGACAGTAAGGGCTGTAGAAGACTTCGGAAATAAGGAACCACCCATTCATTCAGCAAACATTTGGCCAGAGGCAAGATTCGGTGCCTGGTGCTTCGGACACAGAGATTAAGACCAAGGAGCACGGTTTAGCCTCAGTGCCTAACCCTGCACAGGAAAGAGGCAACCAGGCTACTAAGGGAGCACCGAAGCGGGGCACGGCCTGCCAGGGGGTGAGAGAAGGCTCCCAGGAGGGATGGGGGCTGAGGCTTGACACAGCACCTGCCTGCAGGAGTAGCTCTCGTCACTCCCCAGCTTCTGGAATGCCCTCAGGATGCAGTCCAACTACTGCGTTTGGTAAGCCAGCCCTGCTCAGCAATCCCAGCTTCCTCTCTCAGTCCTCCTCCTTCTCAGGACCTCCCTATGGTCTTGGGTTAGTTAGTGTTCCTCTTTGGGAACCTCCTAGGACATCCCCCCAAGCATGTTAAGTGCCCCTCATCTGTATGGTCTTGTCTTCTTGTGCTCACCATGTGGCACTCTGTTTTGGCACAGCCTACCTTGGCTTCCTCCTCTCCTACAGGGGACACAACTTGAGTTCTGGCTGAGGTCCCCTGTGCCCAGTGTGAGGCCTGACAATAGAAGGTGTTCCCTGTTTGTTAAATCAACGTCGCAGGTCACTCTGGTGCTTCCCCAAGGCCCTCTCACTGCACCAAATCTATCGACCCTCCATCTAACCCTGCCCAACATGGCCTCCAAGAAGCTTTCTCAGATGAACACTCAACAGTCCAGCCCCTTCCGCACACCCAGCAACTACCCAGTACTTATGATCTTCCACTTACTCATTTTTTTTTAATGCTATTTATTTATTGCTGATGGCGGCTCTGTGCCAGGCCTTGTGTGGCTGGGGATGGGAGAAGAACAAGAGCCAGGCTGAACCGTCCAGCAGCTCAGAGTCTGGTAGAGGAGGCAGCTATGTGTAGGGACAAGTGTAATGTTGAACAAGGGGACATCCTAGCTGCTGTGGAGAGACTAAGTATGGGGTGGGGTGGGGGAAGTTTCCACTCCTGTGGTGACATTGATCAGGGTCTCTAAGGATGAATAAAGAATTAGGAGGGGCATTCGTGGTGGAGGGAATGAACTGCAGCTGCGGAAGCACGATGAGGAGGCTGGATCCCTGGATCCCGGGAGAGAGGGGTGATCAGAGGTGACACTGGCAGGGAGGCTGGAGGGGGTGGTTGTGTGGGTGTGATCTTGAGTGGCAGCCTGTGGCTGGCAGTGTGGTGTTCAACAAGGGAGCAGAGTCCTGTTCAGACACGGGCAGGGAGCGCAGGAAGGCTTGGAGGGGACAAATTACAGAAAAGGAAACACGCCAGGAGCCTGGGAGTTGTGGGGGGAGACGTGAGGAGGGGAAAAGCCGGGCTGTGGTAGTGGGGCTGCAGGGGAGGGGAGAGTTGAGTATGCTTCTGAGGTTTCTCAGCAGCGGGGCGGCGCCTCCGCAGAGTGAAACCATCCAGGTGGAGCGCTCCAACCGGTGACACGTGACACGCATGGCACAGACACGGCGACGCCGCTTACGCCAGTTACAGACTCTCTTCCCTTCCACTCCCTGCTCCTTTCCTGGAGGCTGGAAACCCGTGCCCCGACAGAGGGCCGGCCTCTG